CTCATAATTATCTGAAAGATTCCTACAGTGAATTAAGAGGTTTCTAATAAAGTACTAAGCTGCATTTAGAAGTTGAGCAATGAAAGACTCTTTGTTCTCATTTCAAAAGGTTCCAGTACTGAACAATTTGGCTCCCAATACAGGCATGTTTTAGACCACCTGCAGACTCTAATCTACGCAAATTTATTTGGTACAAACTTTCTTCTACGTCACCACATTCTGTTTAATTCCAGAGAGGTTTATTGCTAGTGTTAAATGGCATTAATAAGAGAACAGCTGCTCTCATGGGAGCTGCCCTGAAAGGAAAAAGGAGAAAAATTGAGTTTTTGTTAGCTTCTTCCCTAAGAATGCACTGCCACAAATGCGTCTAACCTTCAGATGAAATAATCACCTTGAGCAAGTAGAATGTTTCCTATGACCTTGATTCAAGTCTGTCCTTCAGCCAATAGTCATCTGTAACTCTCTTGATTCAAAAGATGAAGTTAAAAAGTATATTAACCTTTTAAAATTTCTCAACAGAAACTAATTTGTACTTAACTACATCAAAAACAAAGTAGAAATAGACAAGTAAATGGCTTTGGTAGAAGAGTACTTTAGAGATTTGCTTTTAAAAATCTAATGTATTAATATATTTTGTTAATGTTGATAGAAAAATTCAAATTTCTTTAAATTTTAGTATATATATACACCCATATATACATATGTATATATATACATATATATATGTATATGTATATATACACATATATGCAATGGTTAAGCCCTTGTTAAGAAGCTTTCAAATGAAGAAATTGATGTCAAGCTCCAGGGCCTCTTGCCCTGTGCCTATAGGCATGCCTGTCATTCTGCCAGCTACCAACCCCTTCTTTACACAAGGTATTTAATTCTCATGATTTACATCTCAGCTCATGTGTCATGGCCTTTGAAAAAATCTTACCTCTCCCACACAGGTTGAATCTTTTGCATTGCCATGATTTGATATGTCAGAAAGAAATTGTACCACACACTTGCTAAAAATGGCAAGGAAGACTTTATTTAAGATTATCGCAATAAGGGAGGAAAATAAACTTACCTCTATCGAAACAAAGGCAGGAGCGTTTTTAAGCGCTGGGATGAACTACTGGAAAAAGTACTGGAGGACCTTAGAGAGGCATTGGTCAATGTGATCAGGTCATTTGTGTTTGCTAATTGGTGCTTATTTAAGTTAGGCTCCCAGGTCCTTGAGTTATAAAACTGACTAGCTGCTGGGACAAGATTTATACATTTTACAAAGGGACAGAGAAAGAATTTGCAATTTCAAGTTTTATAAAGTAAATGCTCTAAAGAAAGGGAGGTCAAAAGTTTAGTCAGGCTTAGGGGAACATTAGGGCCATCTTGGTCACATGAGTATGTCGTAAAAAACAGCATGTGTATTTCATTTTTTGCCTTCTTGGCTCTCTCTCCTACAGATTGTAAGCTCCTTTAAAGCATGCTCTGAGACAGATTGATCTTTGTTTCCATAGCATCCAAAACAACGGCCAACCATTTTGTAGATGGTCAATATAAGTTTGATTAATGGGTTCATTTTGTGAATAAATAATGAATACAGTAAATATATTTTTAAATTCTTGCTTATGACTGCTTATTAAATTCCATTCCTTCTGGCATATAATCAATTTAATAATTTTGTTATGTGTCTGTATGGCTTAAAAGTAATCCACGATAATTTAATTTCATGTTCTTTTTCTGAACTGTGTTTTAAAAATCGATCTTGTCCTATAAAGTGTAAGAAATTTCTGTGGTATATTATAATAAAACCATTGAAGCAATCACTAGCACTTCTACAAAAATTCCAAGAGATCTAGTTCCTTTGTCACATCTCATATAATTGGCACTTTTTTGTTGTTTATTTGCTATTGTTACTGTCTTCTTCTTCTTCTCCTCTTCCTTCTTCTTCTTTCTTTCACGTTATACATTGTAAATGATTACTGTTTCATTAAGTAAACCCAACTATCCCTGCTGATCATCTGGTAACTTGTACTATTACTCTTTAATGTAGTCTCTATTAGATCAGAATTTCCTGTGGACCACTTTTCCATATCATCATTTTTATCACTTATGAACATTTCACCATTTACTTGGGACTATGGAACAGAAACTAGAAAGAACATAATTTATTTGCGTAAACCGTTACTGAATACTTACTAAAGTCTGGGACTTTGTGGATATAGACACAAAAGGGAGGAAAAAAGCTTCTGTCCATAGGGAAGTTTATAGTTTGATGGGAGAATCTTTGCCTAATTTCTAAATTCTTTGCCTAAGTCTTTGCTTAAAAAAGAACGGACCTCTCTTCTAAGCTCGAGACCAACTGCCTGCTTTACCTCTTCACTTGAAAGCCTCCTAGACACTTCATGTTCAACATACCCCTCAGATCTGCTTTTCACCTAGTATTCCCTTTCTCAGTTCATAGTACCACCATCTACTCAACTCTTCAGTCCAGATGATAGTGCAAAGTTGTCTCTGATTCCTCCCTCTTCTTCATTTCATACATCTAGTCAGTTGTCAAAATCTTGTTGATTAAACTTAACAAATATAGCTCACATTTGTCTATGTATCTTCATCTTAGTCCAAGCCACTGCCATCATGCAGTATCCTCCCCGGTGAGTCCTTTCCCTCTCTATGTGCTACCTTTCAAAGATTTTGTAAGACTCAATATAATTGTAGCTACTTGCTTATTCTCTATCTTCCCACTATAGTAAAAACTCTGTGATGACAACCATTATAACTTTCTGGTCTATCAGAGAATCACCAAATGCTATCACACTTGATATATACTATGTACTTAATAAATTGACGAGAAATTAGGAGCCTAAATAGTGAATTATGATATCAGTACAAATTCTGTAAAACATTTTATGTTTCTTCTGTTGACGTTGATTTTTTTATTATTTTTTATTTTAATTTTTTTATTTTTTTAAGTTTATTGGGATAACATTGGTTAATACAATTATATAATTTTCTGGTGTACATTATAATTTAACATCTATATATTTTATTGTGTGATTACCACCCAGAGTCCATTTCCTTCAGCTACCATATATTTGATCCCCTTTACCCACTTCACCCTCCCCAACACCCTTATATGTGACACCCCTTACTCTGTCCACCACTTCCCTCCTCCCCCACCCCCTACCCTCTGGTAACCACTAGTCCATTGTCCATGTCCCTGAGTCTTTGTTTGTCCTGTTCATTTGTTGCTTTTAGGTTTATATCCAACATATAAGTGATATTATGTGATTATCAACTTTTTCAGTCTGGCTTATTTCGCTTAGCATGATTATCTCGAGATCCATCCAGGTTGTCACAAATGGCAGTATTTCATCTTGAAGTTGACTTTATTACACTTTCTCAATCAACAGATGCATTTCTATGAAAATTGTCTTTAGTACTTCTGTGTTGAAAACATTAAATTGTTTGATCACAAGAAAAGGTAATCTATTATTAACTGCATTTTTGCTGAGGCTTGTTCTGTAAAAAGTCTGTACATGTCTTTACAAAGCTTCCTGAAAGAGGCTATCATCTAGTAAAGGAGCTGGAATATATGAGAATAAAATGAATGCCTTAAAGGATGTACATTATTTAGGACACTGTTTTCATTATAAGTGACAAAACTCCAATCAAATGAATATATACAAAAGGGAAAATTATTTCTTCATATAAAAATAATGTTGGCTAGTATTAGAGCTTCTTACTCCTGTTCTTGTCTCTGACTCATCAGACTGATAGCTTGGTCTTTCAACCTCGCTTTCTTCATAAAGCTGGCACTGTTGTCAGCTCTATGTTTACTTCATTCCAGATACGTTTATTCTGTGCCACTGGGGAAAATATCAGGAAAGTACTCTGGATTGGCTTGAGTTGGGTTACATATGTATTCACCAGTCACTGTGACACGGCTGTATTGTCAGGAGGTGAGTAGGGAAGTAGAATTCGAAAGCCTTTTTTGGGACTACATAACTAAAAGAAGGAATAAGAGTCCCTCTTAAATGACTTTGGATATGCAATTATCAGAAAAAGAGATAATGATAATGAGAAACGGGGGAGGAAATGGGAAACAGCATCTACTTGAGAAGCATATATAGAGTGACAAAAGAGTTTAGAAGAGAAAGATTATTTCTTAGAAGAGGAATTCAGTGACATCTGACTAGATCTCAAAATAATAAGTGGACATTGAACTTTTAGTGACTGAGGAGCATTTCAAAAGGAGGAGTAGTACCAGCTTGGAAGTAGAAGAGTTCAGTGAATGTGCAGAAAAGAGAGCGGTGAACTATAGATAGATACTGGGCTGCAGATGGAGGAAGACAGCAAAAGTGTATTTGTGCCAGCTTGTGGGAGAACAAGCGTTCTTTGAGAGGAACTTGAAATTAATTTTTTAGTCCACATGAAGCAGAACAGTAACATTAAAGCCATCTTTAAAGAAATCAATCTTGTAGATTCTTGAACTCATTGACAAAGTAACGGAGGACATAACAAGAATTTATTCCAATAATCTAGGTGAAAACTTTTCAGAGTCTGAAAGAGTGGGAATAATATCAAGATATAAACAGAACCTTGTATTGAACATTACCAGATATTACACACTGTTCACAGTTATGTCTCAATGTCATATTAATGGTCATTGCCATCTTATTCTTATTTCTCCATTCTTGAAAATGACGTTATTACAGTATACAAATCAAATAATATAGGTACTCATTTGGTACTTAACTCATATTAATAATGTGAAAAGAAATAACTATTACGTATTCAGCATATAAATAAGTAGTCTAATTTGTTGTTTTCTCAGGAAAGAAAACTTTCAAAAGGAGGAAAATCTACTGCCAAATAACTCAGCACCTCCTGCAGAACCACAAGATGTGGAAGAAAGTCATCGAAGAGGAACAACGGTTGGCAGGCACTGAAAATCAGCCCCTGGACCAGTCTCCCCAGCAGCATTCCTCAGAACAGATCCAGGCCATCAGGGAAGAAGAAGAAGAAAAAGGGAAGCCAAGAGGAGAGGCAATCCCAACCCCAAAGCCAAACCAGTGACAATGGATAAAACGAGCTGTGTTCCAAACCGAGTGACTTGTCACAGACTCTTTTCAAGCCAGCACAACACTTAGACACAACACTGTAGAAATACAAGAAGATGGGCAAATGGCTACTGCATTTTGGGATTCTTCGCATTCTGTGTGTTTATTTTTACAGTGAAGTACATGGTTAAAAACTCTTGCTCAGAGAAGCTTTCACATTGCAACACCAGCTTCTAAAGATTTTTTTTTAAGGAAGAAATATATTTGTGTGTGTATATATATAAGCTCTCACGTAGATACATGTAAAATATATTCACACACATGAACACACATAAACACATACACACTGAAAGCCAGTATTACTGGCTCCACAATTTAGTAACATTCGTATTAAGATATATAGTGGTCACTGTGATATTATAAATCATAAAGGAAAAATAAAGGAAAATGAAGGAAATGGTGCCGCTTAGCAAGGGAACAGTGCAGCAAATGTAGGTTACAATTAAGAAGCTTTTGCTCTTAATTCCGAGGGATGAAAGTTCCAGAGAATTATTTGAATTCCTATCTCTCCTGCCAACATCTTGTATGTGTGTGTGTATGTCTGAGTCTGTGTCTGTGTGTGTGTATTAAGAGGGAGAGAGAAAGAGGATTGAAAGGGTTCTTGTGTGTATGTATTTTTCTGTGTATGTAGAGAGAGATTTTTGTGGTTAGTAGTTCATAGAATTCCAGCAGCAGATGACTCAGCAATTGTGAACAAACAGAAGGAAGTCCACTCTGCAGTGTCTTAGGCAGCCATTCCAAAAGCCTTCCTCCATTTAGCTTCAATAAAGATCTCTTTGCAGAAGGAGGGTAGTCATCTGCTGGGTGAGAGGGCCATGTGATTGGTACTACTGCTACAGACCACTAGGGGGCTCTCTATCACCAGCCTTAAATCTGGAAGACTGAGGCATTTTTCAATCTACTTGCCTAATGAATGTATAGGAGATGTTTGTCTCTGAATATGTCTGTCACTCAACCTAAGATCAAATCACCATTTAAGGGGACGGCATTCTTTAACACCTAGGAAGGAGCTGGAGTCAGATCTTTAATCAGGTTAGAACTCTAAAAGTTTTCCAGAGAAAACCTGGGAAATTACTCTTAACGGTAATCTCCCATGTCTTAATTTGCTGCAAAATGTGTGTGATAGAAAAAGGCAAACAGAGACCCCCTTTGGGATATATAGTGAGAGATGAAGGGGAAAATTTCAACCTAGCTTTTGGTGTTTGTTGACATAGTGAAAGCCTGATTCTTGGCAACTGTTGAAGATTGATTTTTTGGTGGTAAAGGTCCCACTGACCAACCCTGTTGTGGTATTCCACATGCTGTGTGATGGGGTGGCTTTTATCTGCAATTTGGCCCATTGTCATGCTTCTTTTGGCAGGGACAATTATAGAAGGATTTGGGGGGACTGGCCTATTATTGAAAGTTGGTGTTTTTTTTTTTTGGTTTGTTTATTTACACTTGTTTATGCTGTGAGCCAAACCTCTATTTAAAAAGTTGATACTCACTTTCAATATTTTATTTCATATTATTATATTTGTCATGAATAATTACCTTGATGTAAATATAAAGATTTTTTTTGTTGTTTCTGTAGATACAAACTTTTTTTAAAGGGAAAATGAAACATTTTTATAAAGTTATATTTTAATCACCATTTTTATACATTGAAAATATCTCCAAGCCCAGTAAATGAGTGATGATTCATGGAGGTCTATGGACAGCCACACATCTACCTATTCTAGTATAAGTGATAATCTGATACAGGTATCTTGTGCCAATTAAATGAGGATGCTGCAAAGAATGTTTTTTTTACTAGTAACTTTTGCTAACTTTTGGGTCCATGACTCCCAAGTGAAAGACTTTCCTGACCAACATGAAATGCTCATCATTGATGTTCCAACACTTTTTGGTTATAACTCTTCCTTCAGTACTATATACGGACCTGCTCATCATCTAAACAATCTTAGCTTCTAAGCAAACCTTGATTGCGATTTCTACTTTTTATTTCCTCTGAAGTCATAGAAGAGTGTTTACATTAAAAATGCCTTTGTTTCTCATTAGCGATTATTTTTCCATTCCAAAGCAATGATTTTACAGTAATCCATGGCATTTTTAAATTAAAGCAAAGATAATACAATCAGAAATAAACATGGTTTCAAGGCAAATTTCCCAATAAGTAGGAAAATATGGAAAAGATCAAACTGATACAGACTCTACCTAAATAAGAATAATTGCATTGTTTTTTTTTGAGTTAACACCAGTTCTTCATTATTTAGGACTTACTGAGTTGTTTTCCATTTTCTTAGTATTACTAACTGTGTGCTTCTCTGTTTGTAAATCTTACTGTGAGTCAGATACATATTTCCCAGTGAACTTAACTGTTCTCCTTCCCTTGCATATAAAAGATGAAAAAAATAGACTTTATACTCACATACCTCTTATATCTAATTTCTTAACAAAACTAATCTTTTCCCTTCTCCAGATGCCATACATCTGTAAAATAAATATAAGTTGAGGAAAACTCTAGGTGAGAAATAAGTAGAGTGTTGGAAGAAGAGTTGTGAGTTTGTAACTGGATGTTGGCAGCTCTATCCAAGCTTCCTGGCCCCAAGTAGTGTCCAGCCTGACTGCCAGAACAGAGTTCTTAGCAAACTACCTGGTTTTGTTTGTTTCATTTTAAAGTACATGAAATAATGATGGCCAAAGCAGTTAGAACCTCTTCATTCCAGAATTGTGTCCATCCGTCTAGGAAAATTGATCATTTTTTCTTTAAAAATAAATTTTCAGTATATTAAAGATAGATGTCAGTTGAAATAAAGAAATGGAGATTCATCAAGTATGTGACTTTCATACACACAGTACATCCCAGAGGATGCCTAGGAACGTAAAAAGATATTTTCTGCTACTGAAGGTCTCCCTCTCCTTAGTGACAGCAATATTACTATGTCCACTTCTAACTCCAGAGCTTAATTCCTTAGAAGTGTATTTGTTGCAATTTACTACATTTTTATATGAGTCTATTTATAGGTGCCATTAGATAAACTCAGGTCTTTCAAATGAAGGAATTTCTAGCTCGTTTAGGGAAAAGAATAAATGTATAATAAACCATAAAACTAATGGTAGGAAAAGCTGGAAATGGTGAGTTTGATGCTACCAGTTGTTCCCTGTTAAGGAAAAGACCAGGTATACCATGAGTGTAATCGATGTCATTTCCAGCATACTGATACAATGCCTTTCTACTTACCTAAGCCAACTTTCAGACTATTGTTTCTTTGGTGAAAACACCACTTGAGGGTTTTTTTATACAAGTATAAAAATTTGTTTTTGTCATTTATATAAGACCTGGTTTTGCTCTCAGTAGAAGATGAAGACAGTAGCTTGTACAGGGATATATCTATATTGGTCTTCATCTGACAAGGAATTTCTTCATGTTTAAGAAAATATCCACTTTCTAAAAGCAGAGTACCAAATTCTGTCTGTTCCATTTTGATGGAATTCCAGAACAAATCCTAACCATTGCAATCCCAGTAAAACTAAAGAAAAGGGATTGTGTGTCGTGTAGACTGTTCGTATTACGTGTATGTATTGCGATTTCCTCATGTTCCCTGCCTCTCTTGGTTTGCGTTTCCCGACGTCCCTATCATGTTCCCAGAGAACTTTCTTTGAAGGTAAAAGCTGTGCAAAAGGCATGAGACTCAGGCCTATACTTTGTTTAAATGATGGAAAAAATATAAATTATTTTCTAAGTAATAAAGATATGAAAATTATCATTGTAAATAAAGACTAAAGTTTGAAATGACTGCTTTACAAAAGTGAACTATTTGTGTGATGAATAACTCATGGCTAATGAGAAGAGAGTAATCAAAAAAATTATTTCTGTTCCACTTTGGGAGGTCTTTTTGGTGCTTCTGTGTCAGTATGAGGATCTCCACTGTCCTTGTCATTTTTAATATTTCTAAAATAATAATTAAAACCACAATGAGGGTCTTAATCGTTTTTTTCTTCTAACCCCGATTCTTAATGCCTTTTCTAGCTTATATGCCATTTTGGAGGTAAACTGCCTTTTAAACTGGCAGAAGACTCCAGTAAAACAATTCTATAAACTTTCATAGTGTAGAGTAAATCAAGATTCTCCTTATACTAGAGATTATCAGTAATGTGTGTGGGGAAAAAAATTAATAAAATTTCAAGTGGTAATAGCTCAACTCCAGATAATTTAGAACTAAAGTATCTATATACTTTGAAACCAAACTGATCTTCTTTCATTCACCTACTCTCCTAGTGGACAGGAAAATACTTTATGACCATTATTCTAAATCATTCATTTTTTTCATGACTCTTCCATGAAGTAAAACTATGAACTTCTTTATAATATAAGTGACATTTTTCTAATCTGGTCAACAAAATACAACATTAAATTAGGAGGAAGATTAGCCATTTTAGGCAAAGAGCACATTCCAAAATTTAATTATTAATAGGATTTCTAATCAGAGGAAAATATACCAGTTTTAGGTCCTATATTCATATCAATGTGCTCCTCTAGAAAATATTCAAATTCTTAATGGAAATTTGGGGGTAAATTAATTAAACTATAAGTACTGAGTAAATTAAACTACAAACTATGCATTCAATAAAGAGCTTAAATTGAGGTTTCTATAAGCATTTGTATGTTTCACACTAATGATCCATGTCAAAGAACACAAATATTTTTCAGTCTATATTATGCCCATGGATGTTGGGCAACTTGCTAACATTTCATTTGTGAAAATGATGCTGCTTTTATCTTACCTAAGGGTGCTTTTACCTTATCTGAACTGATGTTTATGTTGACTATCAAGTCATCTTAACAGCAGGTTAACAATGGTGACAAAAATAATGGAGTATTTTGTTGCTAAATATGTTTGAAGATACAAAACTGAAGATTAAGGCTTCATTTCATTGTTGGAACTCGATCTGCTGATTCCAAAATACTAATCCAGTATAAATTACTTTGGTGCAGGTAAGAATATAAACTATATGAAGTGATATGTAGATGGAAAACAAAATTGACTTTTGACATATGCTTAATGCTCTAAAAAGAATCCAAATTCTCCATATTATGCTTACAAGTTTGATTACTTTGACAGATGTTGGTATCCATGGATTTCTGCTTCTCTGAGGAGTTGTGAAATACAGAAGAAAAGGCAAGCCTTATTGATAAGAAATACTGAATCAGATTTCCATATTGCTTCATATCAAGATGATTTTTAATCATTCAAATAATTTAATCAAAAATTGTTGAAAGATAGTAATATTTAATCCTCAAATGTAAGTAGTGTTGCAAATACTTAAATATGATTTTTTTTGATTGAAGCTATTAAACTTTTTTTATTCAATTAAAACAAAACCCACAACATGACATTCCATGGTATAAAGATGCTAAATATTTTGATAGAACTAGTATATAACAAAACTGGAAAGAAGATTATTTACTTCTTTTTCTAATTAATGTCTTTCATGTCTCAGGGAGGAAAATGTTCTATGAAGGGTCCAATAAATACATGAGATAAAAATAAATTTAGTCCAATAATTTAATTATAATAATTGTACAAATTATAGTCTGAGTTGTTCTGAGTTATTCCAAGGAAAAGACATGTGCTATCCCTCAGTTTATTATGTTTTAGGTTGTTTTTTAAAAAAAGATCTATTAATGTAGGTTATATTTAACTAAATTTTAACAATTAAAAACCTAAATACTTATCTTCCTTACTAAGAAAATTAAATCTTATTAATCTCGACTTCCACAGATAAAGCACTACATCCATCTGCCAAGAGTGATCAAATGTTAGGTTGGAATTTGAAATTTATAAATAGAAAAGAAATAAAAAATATTTTTAAAGACATTGCTTTAAGTAAATTTTGTGTAGAAATATCTATTTCAAATGAAACAGAAACTACAGCAGAGAATTCTTCCTATTCTCTAAAAAAAAAATTCAAACACATAGGAGAAAAATATGGCTTCTCTTCAATTTTACTTCTCCAACTCAAAGTTAGTAAAGGAAAAATAATCAGATATTCTCATCTGCTGTGATAAGGAGATTGCCTTTCACCTCAAGTTCTAACTTGGCACATCTAGTTTCATTGTGCAGCCCACTGTACTAAAAAGCAAAAAAATAAAACACAGCTGTAGACTGGGAGTGAACACTACATAAAAGTTCTAGGTTCATCCCTGGACACATCTCCATTTTACGACAAACCAATCTAGTTTTCAGTTACTCTGGAGTAAAGAGACATAATGGATTCATATTTCAACTCTGATTTCGTTTATTACAATCAACACTCACACATGAATTCACCCATGGAGCTTAGAAACTGCTGCTTGAATACCTTTTGAAGGGAAGATTTTTGTTTTGTTTTTAATGCTAGTAATTTCACTCCCTATATAATAGCAAACTATTTAGATGGTTCAATGTGAAATTAAAAATAAATGTTTAAAGATTTTTTGTCTGTATATATAACTTGTTGGCTGATAGAATTTATCATCACCTTTTAAAAATTAACTGATTATTTTTATGACTCAAAAAACCCATATTATGTCAGATACTTTGTTTTAGCTATTTATAAGCATAATCCTGTACTATGGTGTTGCTATCTTTAAATAATAACCCTAACATATCTATATATTACCTGTTAGTGGGATTTAAATGGCTTGAACTTTAGTATACATTTGTTCATTAGTTTGAAAATCACTATTTTTAATACTCTATACAATATTTGCATGGAATTTTTACCATATTTTGTTTGTTTAACTGGTGTGTGTTTGTTTTTCATTTGTGAGTGTAGGTCATCTCTTAGTATAGTCTCACAGAAGAACTTACACCGTTTTTGTTCTAACAAGGACAATTTGTTAGTTGACAAGCACTGGAAATAAATATCACTGAACCCATCTAGAGATTTTTATCATGCAAGTCACAAAATAAAAATTGGTGCTTTTATAAATATTTTAAAACTCAATGCAAAATAATCAAAATGAGATTCTCTCTAGCTTTCTATAATGATATTAGAATATACGACTAAAAGTACATTAATTGGAATCCAGAGTGTTTTTGTTTTGGTTGGTTTGGTTAATTTGATTAGGTTTTTGGTGTTAAAATGTGTTGATTCCTGATGGAGCAAGTTGTTCTGGTCAGTTGTTACCTCTTGCTGACATAAAGCAGTCACTGGAAAGTTAAAATTAGCATGTTTCAAATATTTGACTTTGTAGAATATGTATAAACCAGAGAGTATTGGATTAACTTAATTTAGAATTCCTAAAAAAAAAAGCAATATTTCAAATAACTGCCAACCAAAGTAACGGTGTAGGGTATGTCATATGTACATGACAGTGTAATTCTCACCAATTTCAAAAACTGAATCTGTTTATTAATAACTTTCCAAATTTATCAACTCTTAGAAACCCAAGAGTGAGGCATTGGACTTAAGTGATCACTTTGCAATTGAAAATAAATCTGTCCTCTCACCTGTGTCTTGCACTTAATATACGTAGCAATACTTTGTATCGTCCCATCACATGTATTTGTTAAACGACATAGTTAATGGCTGGTAAATGTTTTGTAAAAAGTAGAATCTGTACAGAAAAAAATTATATAAATTGTATTTATTTTTGCTGTTTTTTAGCTTAGACACTATAATAACGCTCCTTTTTTTCCCAGATTTACTGGAAGTGCCTCTTGGTTTTATATATATTAATATTACAGTAAAGATATACTCAAGATTATTAGACTTGTGTCACAGATAATAGATATGGATATTGCAATGTGAAAATAATGTATAATATAAATATAATTCTGGTAGCATGTTTGATGTAGTTATTTGTACAACCCAGGTCCTCCACCCAGCATTTTGAAGGTATCCTTTCCTCTCATATTCAAATTTAGTAGTTGTACCCAGCCTATGCTGTAGTATGAAAACTATTGGCCTTCTTATAATTTCCAAGGACTCCTGAGGACTTCTATTTTCATGGTCATTCTCCCTCCCTACTACTGATGAATTCTTAGCCATGTTAACCTTCATCTAACTTTCTGTAGCTAAGCTGTATTCTTTCTCTAATTAAATAGTACCAAAAGTAAGATATTCAAATTTCTGATATTCAGTTTTAGAGTCCTGTTAAAAGACAGGGTTGCTATTTATCCTATAAATGCTACAATTTATCCTATAAAGATTTTTCATGGATGCCATATGTACACGGGATCCCTATGGACATGGAATATTTGGTGGTACAGACAGAATTATGTTTGTTCTGCATATTTGAAGAGCTTTAGAAAACTTTGAATGATTCAAAACACTCAGTATTTTAATTAATTCTAATATAGTCCTCAGAAACAAACAAAAGCAAAATGTGATTTCTACTCAAAGTTCCTAAGGAATTAATTGTTCCTTATTTTGCTTTTCCCATTACCTATGGGACAAAACTCCAACTCCTAAGCCTGGAATAATCAAAGATCCTTTTGCTCTGGCCCCAAACTATTCCTCCATGAAAGGCACCAGCCATTTATCACTTATATTTCTATGTCTTGGGCATATTATATTAGTGGAGTATTTCTACACTCTGCATACATACATGTTCCTTCTCCCTTTGCATGCACACACACTCACGCACACACACGTGCACATACACATGCACACACATTCTTCCAACTATAGATAGAATGACAGGGCAAGACTGTGCCCTCTTTAGTTGTGAATTTTATCCTTCTCCCAGGGTTTTCCTCTTATGGCGATGCTCTGTTAGCTGGATAATACAGTCTGAACCTCCATCTCT